CCCGCCTCTTTGACCTGTCTGTCTCCTCTCCACCTATCTTCTCCTCTATCTATCTTCTATCCGCATCCCCCTCTCTCCCTATTTATTTCAGAACCCCCTTCCCCTCCCCCATTTCTGATGAAGGGTCTAGGCCCAAAACGTCAGCCTTTCTGCTCCTATAATGCTGCTTGGCCTGCTGTGTTCATCCAGCTCTGCACCTTGTTGTCTCCAAAGCAGTGTATCTGTTTTGCAGGGGAATGGCCACAGAGGGTTCCTGTACTGTCTCCTGCATCCTCTTACTCCCCCTGATGGTCACCCATTCCCATTCAGCCTGTGGGGTCTCAGCCTGCAGTGTGACCACCTCTCTGTACATGTTATCCATGACTCTCTCAGCTGTGTGGATACTCCACAGTGTCCTCAGCCGCCAGCTCCTACTCCCACACTTCCAGGAGCTGAAGACACTTTCTGCACATGTACTGGTCCCGGGCAATGGCTTCCCACTTGGATCAGGAGGAGCACACCACAGTTTTGAGCTGTACAGTCACTTCTTACACCATTGCATTAAACATTTAAAAGCCTCTTAAAGTCAAACAATATCAACGACTACAGGGACCTTCTTCCCTTAACTTCAAACTATAAACTGCAAAACAACAAATTTATGAACAGTATGCAATAATAGTAGCACCCACCATCTGTACACACATACAATCAGCAGCATCTGTTTGCCCTGTGTAACTTTTAAATCCTGACATCAGTTCAGTAGCTTTGCATCTGGATTGAATGAAGGTCTCGCTGGTTATGCTCTTTTGAAAGTTTACCTGCTGTTCTGTTCAGCTGCTCCTGGCCAGATTTACTCTCTCTCTTGAGCCTCTGGTGCTCTTACAGTACTGAGTTCCTTAAAGTTGCTCTTTCCCCTTACAGCCAAAATTCCATAAGATTTTACTTTTCTATTAAACAGCAGCAATACTCAACACTCAGAGAGAAGGAGGGTCTGATCACCTCCTCCCTCTTTCACCAAACTCCACGAACACTCTAATACAAAGGAGCGACTCCAGTGCAGACCTATCCACATGACTATACAATTGTAGCCATACAGACTGGTACTGTGGGTGATCTCTGAACCTTTTGAATAGATGGGGATCATGGGTGGATTCGGAGAACTGGAAAGTTACAAATGCAATGCCGTTGCTTGAAAAATATATAATGTAAGGTTAAGCCCAACAGCTATATTCCAGTAACAACATCAAAAATAGTGAAGGTTTTAGAAGCAATACTTCCGACTGAAATTAATGGCTGTAATGTTTCTGTTCGATGACATCAAGGATTGTAGGTGGCAACAGCTCCCACGTAGTTAAATGAAGGGATATGGGTTTCTTGAACACTGTCTCTGGCCATATCACACCATATGGCATCAGATGAAATATAGACAAGGAAATCTCTTGCTAATATCATCCCTTGCCCTGCAAAGGGAATGGCTCATTGTGTTTTCATGTTATGAAACTTAAACCCTTACAATGTAAGGATAGATGCGGGAAATTACTGATAATTTTGCTAGCAAACCACACGGTTGACTTAAAAGGGGATTTAAGATTATGTGTTATCACAAAGTCACATTATGGCTATAATTCATGTGCCCCATAGTCTCATCAGCTCTGTAAAGTATTGATTTGGAGTGAGTAATTATACATTAGAAGTTCAACCTCATAGAAAACATGTTCTAATTGCAAATGTCTTCTTTCATGTCCTGAGTATTCCTGCAATAATCAGCATTCATTGAAAAAATTGTTTACGCAAGTATGTCACGTCTCAATTTGGTTTTATAATTCCTGACGTTACAGATTGTGTCAAATAAAATCTATTACAAACCGAGTGAGTGCCAGAGCTGGGCTGTGCTGTAGGCGGAGGCTGTAGCATACAGACTGTAACTCTGCTTTCATGAGCAAGAGGATTTACAACACAAAGAAATTGGACAGATTCAGAGTGAAACTGTGATCCTGATTATATTGCTGGAAATAGCAGCATCATTCTCAATGAACTGTGAAATTCTAAAATACATTTCACATTTACCAGATCCACTTTGCAAATTTCACTCTGGGCGCTGGATATTTTGAAATCGTCAATACAACATGGCTGCAGGTAAACAATGAAACTTGTCCAAACGGATCAGAAATCTCCGTTCCTCACCAGAGCCCGAGTGAGCAATACTGGGAGTAAGTATATTGCTGCAGGATGCTGTACCTGTAACCTGCACAGCTGACCAGTAACTTCTCTTGGGGTGGTTTGTTGGTGAATGCCCTGGTTAATGAGAGAGAAGTTGTTTGATTTCAATAGAGGTATGAATAATATTGTAGAACTGTTCCAAAACAACAACATAACAGGGGGCCTGTCATGAGTAGGTTTACTTTAATACTATCTGTATAGATCTTCAACAGTCTTTGGAGGGCTCAGTATGTGTGAAGTCTGAGCATCTTCAGTGGCAAGGATGAGGGGGTGGTATAGGAGAGATAGATGGAAGATATGGAGGACTCTGTTTGAAGGCAGTCAATCTGCCCATCCTCCTCCGAGTCCCAAAAGCACCATTCTGCCATTATTTACCCCCTGGCCTGGGTCATTGGGTGATCCTAGCTTTGATTAGCTGCATTCCCAGCAGTGGCCACTACCATCCCATTGACTTCGCTGAGAAATTAAGAACTGGTGGTTTTGGCTTTGCCTTAAGCTATCCGTAGGGAGGAATTCTGCCCTGGCAGCCCTTGATCCAGGGTAAGCCTAAGCATGTCCAGAATAATGCTTGATTAATGCAGTGGGTCTTCCTCAACAGGGACTCTCTGCAAATCTCCAAATACCTATTACCAACTTGGAAATGAAGTGGAAGAAACTGGGAGTAGCTGCTATTTTTAACAATATGAAGGAGCCGAATTCATTGGAAGACACAGTGATTAAAACACATAGTCTTGACAGTGCAATCTGAGGCACTGTCAGTGAAGCATTGTAAGAAACTCTTTCCCATTAAATTAGCTCTGCAGGGAATCTCATCAGCTTGTTTAAATAAAGCTTTACATTGGAAAAACATCAATAGACATAGGAAAAAAAGTCATCAAAAATATTAATCTTCAAATTTTATTCTTTGGTGCAAGAATTTAAACTTTCATAAAACAAAAATTAATTTAGTTATTATAAAACTATATATGTTTAACAAATACTAAAAAGGACTGTGTATAATGAGCAGTTTTCTTACGTAATACATTTTTGTTGATATTCCCTTCAGTATAGTAGTTTCACGCCGTTCCAGTTCAATGGATGAGACGGGGGGGATAGTCTGGGATTTAGCCCTCTGTCTGCTTCTGGCCCGACTGATAGTTGGGGCAGCCTTATGGAAAGGAATCAAATCATCAGGAAAGGTAAGTGATTGGTGATGAATAGAGTTAAAACTGTGATAAAGTATAGATTTCTGTAGCAATGAAACTAGAGTTTATAAATCATTTGTGAAGTGGCTGGTTTATCTCCCAGGTGATGTTAACAGTGTCCTTTTGGGGTTGGGAGAGCCATAATTCATCAACACTTCAGGCCTAAGGGAGATCTGAAGATCTTTCCTCCCTGGGGGAAAGAACAGCAGCAATTCCCCCAAATCCCTGCAATGTCTCCGTCATTCTAAAGGTTTCACTCACGATTCTCAGGTCTCTGGGGGAATTTCTAGTTGCTTTGGAAGACTGGGCAGGACTGGGGGGAGGGATTGAGCAGATTAGGGCGAGGGTTTTACTTGAGTGAAATTAGATTCATCTAGATAATGTGCATGTCAACAACAATTAGGAGGAAATATGAAGAATTTTCATCACACTGTTTTATCCTTTTGTTTAAATGTATTACTTTTCTGAATACATCATATAAATGTTTGAATAACTTTGTACTATTTAAATTACTATGTGCAGCTCTGCATTCAAAACACTGGGACTCTCCTATAATGTTGATCCTGTGTAGCACAAAACTCAGTGTAATGTAGGTCCAAGAAGAAATCCAAACATTTCATGTTAATGCAAGATTCTAGAAAGCTTTTCTTGAACTTGTACGTGCTGCACAAACGATTTTAAATTGACCAAAGTAGTGGACCCTTTTAATTAAATAAAACACTCAAATAAAGACAGAACATTGCAGATTTTGGAAATTTGGAATAAAAACAGAAATTGCTGGAGAAACTCAGCACGTCTTGTAGCAGCTGAGAATAGTAGCAGAGTTAAGGTTTTGAATTTGGTATGACTCATTCTCAGAATTGAAAATATTTGAAAAATGTTATCTTTTTATGCTGCTGACAGAGGGATGGAGATGTGAAAGGATCAGATGGGGAGTATGCCCAGATCTAACTACAAAGCAGACCTATTCTCTCCTTTTCACACTTATCATTTGCACCCATTTAACATCTCTGTTACTGCTTTCATTACCATTAGCTCTCTCTTTATCTTTTGTTCCAAAACAACATGATGCTCTAATAACATCAAGTGCTATTTGCGCCCTCTTTTTACCACGTCCTGGTTATCAAGGTGAAATTCTGTGGATAGACTCGCCATGAAGGGGAAAATTATTGTTCCTTAATTACCTTATTAATTACAGATCTCATCTCATTAACATGCAGCTTCTTACAGGACCACGTGCCATGAGCAAACTAGATGGTGCAAATTCTCAACACAGAAGTGAGAGCGAGGAACAAACACAGAAGTTGCTGGAAAAGCTCAGCAGGTCTGGCAGCATCAGAACTGAGGAAGGGTCACCGGACCCGAAACGTTAACTCTGATGTTTTTCTTCACTGATGCTGCCAGACCTGCTGGGTCTTTTCCAGCAACTTCTGTCTTTGTTCCTGATGTACAGTTCTTTCGGATTTTAGTCTGGCGAGGACCTGGGGATTTTACCTGACCGGTGGTTGCAAGGGGACTCTGTACTGAAGGCCACACAACATTATCTCAGGGCTAGATTCATGGACACCAGATGCATCCGCTGCTCATCCATGGATGTTGACATCTGATAATTGTCAACCCCTCAGCATCCTCATGGCATGTCTCCACTCCATTTCCAAGATGTTTAGGAAGTTGGTTTCCACATTTCCAGCATGCAAGCAACTGCTGCAAGGACAATTTGCACACAGGCACTTTGCACACTCTTGCATCTCAGCTGCTTGTTCTCTCTACTGCTCCCTCATTTAAGGGCCAGCCTCACACTTGCAGCATCCATGCCATGCCCTGTGATTGCTAGGGAGTTGGGGCAAACATCACCAAGCTGCCTTGAAGCTGTGAAAGAGGATCAGATTTTTTTTTTCCTTCCAGACTTCTGGAGATGAGCATGTGCAGTGTCACACTTGCTCTGTCTATGCCAGGATACTGTGATGGAGCGGTGTTGGATCCTGGAACCAGCCCAGAGGATTGCTGCAGTGGGAGGCCACCGTCTCCCAGTGGCTGTGAAGTGACAGCTGCTTTGAACTTTGATGCAGGGTGTCTCCTTCCAGGGAGTGTTACCAACGGCATTTGTGCAAGCTCACTCCAGTTTATTTGCTCCTCCTCATGGTGAGGTCAGTGCTGTAGCCCGGGCAGTAGGATTCAGGAACATAGCTGGCATCTTCCAGGTGCAGGGTACCATTGACTGGTCGGGCGTGGCACGGAGAGGGCAGTGTCACAACAATGTGGAATTCGTCAACAGGAAGCACTTCCATTCCATTCATGTTCAAGCGACCTGTCATCACCGTTACTCCTTCCTGGGAGATGTGTACCCACTATCCTGGCAGCTGCCATGATTCCTACATGCTGGAGCTCTATCATGTACCTGGTGGGTTTCAAGGATCTGGCTGCTGTGCGAGGCTGATTACTGGGGCACAAAGACTATTCTATTCCGAGTGTCTGATCACACAATTGCACAAACCCCCTGACTGATGCAGAGTGCAGAGATAATGTGCTTTGATCAGGGCCATAGTGGAGCAGGGCTTTTGAAGATATGGGTTTTTTTTTCCCATTCTACCCTCAATTCTAATCCTATTTCAAGATTATTCTATTGCCCTTGTTTCATAGCATTATCAAGTCAATGTACAGCCTCTGCATACATTCTGATGTCTTTTGGAACTCAATGTAGGACCCCTCCTTCCCATGGCTGAAGGCTTTTTCTCTGGTACATAACTATTTTCTAAAATAGCAGTTGCTCTCAAGCACATTATTGGACTTCCGTGATGCTTTTTTGTTTGCAATTATTTAACTTTGCTGCTAATCCATGGACCTCACTTGTTGGCAGTCATCAGGAACATTCAACCTACTACAACGTGCCAGTGCCTCTTCCCGCACATCCAACAATCCTCCACTCACTACACTCCTCTGGAACTTATGTTCCTAGAGATCCTGATCAAGGGGTCTTTAGATGTGATAGCTCTGGCCTGTACGTCACAATCACTGGCCTTACTACAGTGCAGCCCTTGACCTATCACATTCTGTTCTTTAGTCTGTGATGAGAAACACAAGAGCAGGTGAGATATAAAGTGTTCCATCACCTTCTATTATCTGCTGAGATTCAGAGATTTTGAAATCAATCTAATTAACTGTGACGAATAAAATTTAATAAATTGCTTGCCATTTTGACGACCCGGGTTTGAATCCTACCATGGCAGATGCTGGAATTTCAATTAAATTTAAAAAATAATCTGGAATTAAGAATCTACTGATGCCATAAAACCATTATGGATTGTTGAAAAATCATTCTGGCTCACTAATATCCTTCCAGGATGGAAATCTACCATCCTCATTTGGTCTGGCCTACATGTGATTCCACACCCACAGTAATGGATCATTTTTGCAGACAGAACCTAAGCATTCTGCAATGTGGTCACATTCATGTCCCCAGTGTAGAGGTGACCACATTTTGAGCAGAGATCGCCTTTGATCTTAATGGAGGGATGGACTGGAACTTGACTTGTGTCAGGTTAGTAAAGGATTTGAATCTTCTTGAGGGCATGTCAACAGCCTGGATAAAAAACGTTTTGATTTCAACCCTTTGAAATCCAAGACAAAAATGACACTGACCTCACTTGTGGAGTTTCAGAATGTGGATGACAATGTCATTTCCACTCTCTTGGGAGAGAATCTTCAAGCCTCAGTTAATGCCTTCACAGAAACATACTGTAGAATTACTGTCAGTCTAAAACTGAAGATATCAAAGAAGATCATTTGGAGCATTAAAGCTGAGACTGAGATAATACTATCATTCAACATTGTCATCCACTAATTAGAAATATTACTGAGCTGGTTGGAAACAAATGAAAAATCAATTGCTGCAGTGTCGGCCCATCAGTCTACTCTCACTCAAAGTGATGGAAGGTGTCATCAACAGTGCTATCAAGCAGCACCTGCTCAGCGACTCCCAGTTTTGGTCCTGCAAAGGTCACTCAGCTCCTGACCTCAATACGGCCTTGGTTCAAATATGGACAAAAGAGCTGAATTCCAGAGGTGAGGTGAGAGTGACAGCCCTTGACATCAAGGCCGCATTGGACTGAGTGTGGCATCAAGAAGCCCTAGCAAAACTGGAATCAATGGGTATTGGGGGCAAACTTTGCAGGCTGGCCTTTACCCACTCCTTTGTCTGCCCAACTGCACCTCTCTCTCTCTCTCAGCTGCATCTCCACCTTTCGTTTACTTCTCTCCTCTCCTCTCACCCCATATATACCAACATTTTCCCAGCTACTATCAGTTCTGAAGGAGGGGTCACTGAACCCTAAACTCTGCTTTTTCTCAACCAATGCTGCCTCACCTGCTGAATTTTCTTCAGCAATTTGGGCAACTTCAAAACATCCTGCAATCGAGCATGATAGAGAGGCGAGGAGATAATGTGCACAATGTAATATTACTGCCTTCTCCAGCACATGTCCATCATCCACTGATAGCAAATGTACATGTGTATTCACGTCTCTGTTAACAGAAGAAATTTATTTGAAGTGATTGTCTATATCTTTGTCCATTTTTTTGCTCTGGCTGCTAGTGTTTTACTTTGAAAAGGGCTTCATTATAACATGGCCTCTCCTATACACAACCTGAATCTCGTGGACTCCATTCTAGCAGGATACCAGTATAAAGCCTCCATGTTATTAGTTCTCCAACTGTTTCCTGCTTCATTCTCTGCTTTGATTACAAACTTGAGTTTTCCATTTAACTGAACTCATTAAAGTAAATTTTGCAGCAGTAATATGAGAACTTCTAACAAGTTACTCTTTATGTTCAGGTGGTTTATTTCACTGCAACATTCCCGTATGTGGTTCTGACCATACTCCTGATCCAAGGGGTTACCCTGGAGGGAGCCTTTAAAGGAATCGAATTCTACATCGGAAGCCAATCAGACTTCTCCAAACTGGCTGATGCTGAGGTAAATGCAGCAACTTCATTGCTTGAATTTCAATTATATTTTTAATGAATTGTTCAATGTTTCAAATTAATTATTTTTTGTACCTTGAGTTTTGCTTTTGGTTCTTGTTCAACGGTAGGATAACTAACTTCAGATGGTGCTAAATTTCAACTGAAACCTTCGGATGATTTTCTAACTCAATGCCCCACACTTCATCACCGCCTCAAACTCACTTTTCCTGACCCATGCCAACATCTGCCAAACCAAGACACCATTCACCACTTTTGCCCTTACTCTATACAAATTCACTGATTATGATGGGCCTTGGGAAAATGTCAACAAAAAAATTGCTGTAGCTGTTAAAACATTTGTTATTTTTCTCAGCTGTCTCTGATAGAAGCAGGTGATTGATCTATGCAGTCTAAAAGGCTGGGGATTTAAATGACTTCACAGCTTGAGTTTAATTTAGCTCTCAATGATGCAGGTAGATTGTTGTGCTGTTGCTTCTTTGGGTTTTGAAGAGCTGAGGTAAGTGATGGGTTGGCAGTTTTCCATCATTCATGAACATTTATATCTATTTCAAACATCTGCGACTCCGCACTACCGGTAAGTGAGCACAGAGTTCAAATGGCCCCTCAGATTTGAAGGCCCACTTGGGAACTCTGCAGCCTTTTGGACTCAATATCGAGTTCATCAATTTTCAGGATTGAGCACCTTCACCCGTGTCCTTACCCCAATCCCCACACACCAGGCCTCGTCATTACATGGGCTACTACCACACATAACACATTGTCAGCTACTAATGGTCGCCCAGTCCTTTCTCTGCCCAACTGTTTTTCTGTCTCTCTGGGCTTTATCTCAAACTATCATTGACTCCTTTCCCCCACCCTCCAATTTCAGCATAAATACCAACTTTTTCCACCTACCAACAGTTCTAAAGAATGGTAACTGGACCTGAAATGTTGACTCTGCTTTCTCTCCACAGAAGCTGCCAGCCCTGCTGAGTTTTACCAGCAATTTAAGTTTTTGTTTCTGATTTCAAGCATCTGTAGGTCTTTTGGATTTTTGGTTAGAGTTTGAATTTCCTAACTAAAGGAGCTGGGGATGGGACTTCTAAATTCAGCTTTGACAGGTTATTTTACAAGCCAAAGAATAAAACAGTTAGTGCTTAATGGGTTTGTCATGTAGGTGTTGGTAAGAGGGAGGGGAGGGTAAAAGTCGGGATATGAAGATAAGATGTAGGATGGAACTGAATGAAATACAATAAAGGAAATGCAATGTAATAGAATTTCTTCTTGTCAGTTCCTTCCTTTTGAAGGATTTTAAATAAGATTTTCAGCTGAAATTCCTTATTAATTTATGGAGTAAATATTAACTAAAAACTGGTTGTGGGCAGGACAATGGAAGGTACCCGCTCTGAATTAGATTTCCCTTATCGATTTAATGTTGACGCTATTCAGCGCTGCCAGTATCTGGGAGATGGAAACTCAACATAAGATACTATCAAGAATACATTAAATGATAGAGGAGGAAAAGACAGAAAGAGAACATCAAAATTAACCTCCACCTAAATTTCTAACAGTTACAAGTTGGCCCTACATTTGCTACAGATATTTGTTTTTCAGTGTTTAATCCAAAGTTGTTGTGCAATTTCAGCATTACAGGTGAGATTGGCTCAATACCATTCTGATTGCATTTTGATTTTCATTTTCATTTAAACATTTATCAACTTTTAACATGATCTAAATTGACACCTAATTCAATAGATCATACAATGGCTTTGATATTCTTTGCAAAAAGTATTTCACAGTCAATGGGGTGGTGTCTATTTATAATGTAATTGTTTTGCTGGGGCATTATTTTTACAATTTAAGTATAAAACTTTACTTTTTCCCTGTTCCTGCTTTCAAAAAAATGATGGTGGTCACCGAGTGACAGTGTAGATGTAGCAAGTAACAAACTGAGTCAATCACTGGAAAACATGACTGATGGCTGACATGATTGAGGTACACAAAACTGTAAGGGGTAGAGATAGAGTAGACGGGAGAAACTTGCTTCACTGGCAGAGAGTTCAAAAACCAGAGGTTATAGAGTCAAGCTAAGTGGCAGAAGGATTAGAGGGCACGTGAGGAAAATCTTTTTCTGCAAAGTATTTGGGGAATGTCTGAAATTGGCTACCCGCGTTGCTGGTGGATGCAGAGATTCTAAATTCTTTTTTAAAAAAAAAAGTACCCAGGTCTGCATCTTAAGTGTTGGAAGCTGCAGGTCAATGTGCCGTGTGTGGGAAGATGGGATTAGAAATGGCATCTGGGTGTCTTTGAGTCAGTATGGGCAAGATATGCCTAATTACCCCCTGCACCATTGCTATGGTTCTTTCGATGGTCCTTCATCAAAACTGGTCAAGGAAATTTTGCAGCAAGGAATAGTCAGAGGGAAAATGATGGTCCTACTGCTTATTGGAGGTATGACTGACCATAAGGAGCTTCAATCAGTTGATTCACCATGAATTAACCACACCGAAACACTTGGTCTCATGGTTCATGTCATTTTATATTTTTATATATATATTTATATTTTCCCATTGTAAACAAATTCCACTTTCTGCTTTGCCAGGTCTGGAAGGATGCTGCAACGCAAATTTTCTTCTCTATCTCAGTGGGTTGGGGCAGTTTAATAACACTGTCATCCTACAACAAGTTCCACAACAACTGCTACAGAGATACCATTGTTGTCTGTGTTGTTAATTGTCCTATGAGTGTGTTTGCTGGGTTTGTCATCTTCTCCATCCTTGGGCACGTGGCTCATGTACAAGACAAACCTGTCTCAGAGGTTGCGCAGTCAGGTAAGCAAAATTGGTTGCAAAAAAAGACATCAACAGGCAGTGCCAGAAATTCTCAGCTGGTCTAGAAGTGTCTATAGAGAGACGAACAGTATTAAAATTTTAAGCTGAACGTAACTCTGAAGACGTTGTACTTCATTTGAACCTTTAACTCTTTCTCTGTCCACAGACACTTTTAGAATTGAGCATTAGAGTGACGTCCAAGTAATGTTATATTAGAAAACAGTTTACATAGTCAGCGTGATTTTTCGAATAACCCGGGCACTGGGTGAGACTGCAGCTTGTGGATATTTTTAACCCAACCTGTTCAGAGCTGTTATTACACACCTCTGGAGCAGGTGGGACTTGAACACAGGCCTCCTGGCTCAGAATAAGGGGCAGTACCACTGACCACCAGACCCTTCACTGCAGCTTGTATCTCAGCAGTTAATTCTCTGTTCGAGTCACTAAAGTCCCTCTCTCTTTCATGAGAAACCCAGAAACTGGTGGTGACCTAACCTAAGGGTCACCATGCCTCAGGCGAGAGGAGAGATCCAGAAGGAGAGTCCTTTGTGGTAACCTCAGCCAATGCAGGAATTGGACCCATACTGTTGGCTTCACTCAAAGGGGGGAGTGGGGGGGTGGGGGGGGTGCGGAAATGGCCTAATGATATTATCACTGGACTGTTATTCCAGAGACACTCATAACGTTCTGGGGATCTGGATTTGAATCCCGCCCCGGCAGATGGTGGAATTTGAATTCAATAAATATCTGGAATTAAGAATATAATGATGACCATGAAATCATTGCGATTTGTCAAAAAAGACCCATCTGGTCCACTGATGCCCTTTAAAGGAAGGAAACTACTTTCTTTACCTGGTCTGGCCTACGTATGACTCCAGACCCACAGCAGTGCAGTTGACTCTGGGATGAGCAATAAAAGGGTGTCTAGCCAGCAACGCCAGCATCCTGTGAATGAGTAAAGGAAAAGAAAACTCTACATTGCGAAGCAGCCATTCAACCAATTGAGCTAATCAGCCAATTATGTTGCAAGTATGTCATTGAACAGTAATAACGTTATGTAACTAACTGTATACATAGGAAAGTAACCGAACAAAATGTAAGGAAACAATATCAGTTTTGTTGCTTTGTATGATCACTATTTGCATGATCTGTTTAGGTTTTGGTTTGATTTTCATTGCCTACCCGGAAGCCCTTGCACAGTTGCCATGGGCACCTTTGTGGTCCATTTTATTTTTCCTCATGGTGATCACTCTGGGAGTTGACACGCAGTTTGTAAGTTTAGGTAAGTAAATTTATCTCATTTAAACAATCTGTTTAAACAATTTAAAACAGTCTACTAGCACAGAATGAAATTCTCTAACTTATTCAGTTTATCATTTCAGGTAATAAACTTACTGTTAGCAGAGGAATACATAGTATTTCTTTGTGGCCATTCTTTGCTCACTACCTTAATGCATCATCAGTCTGTTGAGTCCAATGGGTTAACAGCTGCATTCATGTAACACTCAGGAAATATTGCTACAAAATCTGTCACCATGTCAAAATAAGGTCATCTTTAACTTCACAGTTAAACACCATGTTTTGAAAGACGGTATCTATGGACTCACAGTAAATAATGCATATTCGGACCATGTGGAAGTGGGAACTACCAGGGCAGTTTAAACTTTCGATCTCAGGACCTTCTGTAACCTTTGACACTGAGTTAGAGTCAGAGACGTCGGACAGTTCTGCAGTAATTACAAACAGAAACAGTCTATCACATAACCCCAACCACACTCCTCCTGACCCTTCATATATCCCTTTCATCATCTAATCACCCCATGAACTGACCTGACCTGACTACACATGACCACCTGACTAACACTTAATCCACCTCGGCTAAAGGACATTGCTCCCAATTTGATTCATAAAAAAAAAAGAGACTTGGCAAACATGTTGATCTAAGTCCTAATGTTTTGGGGTACAGGTAGATGGTTGTATGACTCTTAGTCACATTTGGGCCTTAATTTGCTGTATCAAATTTATATCTCAATTCTCCTTGGTGATGTTATTCAAGGGTTTCTGAGCTGGGCTGGGGTTAGGGCTCTAGTTCTGGACTTATTCAATAAACTTCTTTTATGAGATATTTGCTCTAAGTGTTCATCATAACAACGATTTTCAAAATAAGAACACGTTTGATGTTGTGCCAAACTAGATCTCAGGCATCTGCTGCTGGGTTTTGTACCAAGGGGAAAAAAGAGGCTTATAGGAACTCTGACTGCTTCTCAGTGGGCTGGCAAAAGTGTTTTTTTTCTCATCAGTAGAAAGAGAGACATTGAAAAAAACTCAGCAAGCTGACAGCATCTGGGCACAAAGGATCAGAGGCCAGTGACTATTCATCAGAACTGGTGCAAATCATGGCCCTGAAACATTAGCTCTGAGTCTCTGTCCAGACACATACTGCAAGGCCAGCTGGGTATATTTTCTTCCCCCCCCAGCATTCTCTGTTGATCTTTCAGATTTCCACCATCTTCAGTACCTTACTGTCCTATTATTTACACCATGCTAGACATTTATACCTGTGGTTGATTTAAAAATCAAATTAAGAAAATATTTACCACCCAATTCAACGTATAATCGGGTTGTCAACACATCCAGTCTTTAGATGTTGCTCTCAGGATATTGTAAAAGGCTAGATTCAAAGAAATAAACGTAATATGCATAATATGAATGACCAATTTTGTATAATTGTCCAGCAAAGTTGTGATATGTAACATGGATAAGATTGAAACTTGAGTTTTCAGCAGGCTTTATAGATAAAGGCAAATTGTGAAAATGCCAAGAAATTTGGCTAAACCTGCCTAAAATCTTTTGACCCTCACTGTGACTGTTGATCCTAATTCTGGATACGTAAAGGACACAAGGGGATGGGTGGGGATAAAACAAGTTGGAAAAGGAGAAGCACCAGGATTTTCCCCTTATCCTGAGATTCCCACCCAAATTCTGTAATTAGTTAAATTCTGGCGTGGATGGGTTTGGAGTGAGATTCAATCACAGATGACATTTCTAAGACTCAAAGCCCCCCAATCTGACTCAAATCCCCGTACGTTTTAATGTTAGAATTCATTTAATGATCCAAATCTTCCGTTCAGCATCAACACGGAGTGAGTGCATTGACATTATCCCAGCTTTATGAGGCTCCACTTATTTACAATTTTCCAGCTGAATGTTCCATTTCTGGCTGAAGTACAAAGGGTCAGCGCAAGTGTCTGAGAATAACAACTCAACCATTTTCCCGACAACCTTCCCACAAACCAGAGTAACAGAAATGTGGGAAATGCATGTCTCAAGGATGGAAACCCAGACAGAGTAACCTGCACTCATCTGCTTCTCAGGGCTGCAGGGATCTGTTCTTGCCAATGAGGGGTTTCTTTAACAAAAGCAGAAATTGCTGGAGAAACATAGCTGTTCTGGCAGCATATGTAGAGAGAAAAACCAGAACTAACATTGAGTCCAGTGACCCTTGACCTGTTGATTTTCTCCAGCACTTTGTTTCATTTTTTCAGATTTCCAACATCTGCAGTTGCTTTGACTATTGTAGATTTCTTCAGGACAGTGCAAGTTATTATTTAATTACTGGTTTCATTTAACGTTTTCTTTCATCAGAAACAATCATCACCATCCTGCTGGACCAGTTCCCCACATTTCTCCGGTCAAAGCGCCATTATCTGACAATTGGTATTTGCTTGTTATTTTATCTCTTTGGCCTTCTGAATGTAACACAGGTAGGTTGCCTCTTAATAAAGATGATGGACATTTCCCGTGAAGAAGGATGACTTCATGGGTTTACGTGATTGTTTTTTTGGATGTATAATATTGAGCAACAATATTGTTGAACTGACTGACCCATCCCCAGCTGGTGTTGCTCAATGCAGACCATACATGACTTGCCCCCAACCACCTCATTACCCTCTGATTGAACCTGACATACTCACAGCACCCACCCCGCCTGATCCTATCACCACATAGCTGCCCCCTGAAATGACCTACACCCCCAATCTGACTAAATACTCTCCGTCTGTGTGTGCATGTCACCCACCTTTCCAATTATCCACTCAACCATTCACTTATATATTGAAATACTCAGACACTAAAAAAAAATTCCCTGAATCTCCGCCTAATGTGAAAAGAGGGTGTGATCTCCTTTTCCTATCTCCTCTTGTTCCTGAGGAATACTCCCAGGGATAGCTGCACTGACCCTTTGTACTTCAGCCAGGGATGGAACATTCAGCTGGAAAATTGTAAATAAGTGGAGCCTCATAAAGCTGAGATAACGTCAATGCACTCACTCAGTGTTGATGCTGAACGGAAGACTTGGATCATTGAGTTCATTCCAAACCAGCAGGATATTGTTCATGTGTAACAGAGAGCAGAATCCCATGACCAGTTTGGTGGGAGGGTACTGAATGAGGAAAAAGGATGACACGTAGTCACTTTTCCCCTCCAGCCCACCCCACTCTCTGCACCCCAATTCAGATTGCAACAGGAAGGCCCATGGATGGGGCTATGAGGAAGTAGTGGAGAAACTGGACTTTTCAGCCTCATTTGATCATCTGCAATGTGATCTTCATTGGGGTTGATCATGAAAGTCCACTAGATGATTCCAGTTGGCTTTTGATGAGTATCCTTTACCACACAATCATTAGGGCACAGAAGGAGGCATCTCAGACTATCATGCCAGCACTGGTTCTATTACCTCATACCAATCTCCCACTTTTCTCCCCCCTTGTCCCTCCACACCGTTTCTATCCAAATAATCACCCAACATCCTCTTCAATGCCTCGGCTCATCCTGCTTCCACCACATTTCCAGCCATTGCATCCCAGACCCTAACTACTGGCAGAGTGTGAGAAAAGATTTTTCTCACATCACACTTGCTTTGTTTGTGCCTCACTTCAAATCTATGCCCTCTCGTTTGTTTTTCTTTTATGAATGGAAACAGCATCAACTTGTCTACACTGCCGAGCCCACTCATGATTTAGAAAAGCTCTATCAAGTCTACTCTCAGCCTTCTGCTGCCCAAGGAGAAGAGTCCCAACTTTTATAATCCATCCCCAACTGAAATTTCTCATGAAACTATTTTGTGAATCGTTTCTGCACTCTCTCCAATGCATTCACATCATGCCGATAATATGGCACCCACAAATGCACACAGTACTCTGGCAGAGGTGTGATAAGTGGTCTTGTGGTCTGGATACGTAAAGGACACAAGGGGATGGGCGGGGATAAAACAAGTTGGAAAAGGAGAAGCACCAAGACTTTTCCCCTTATCCTGAGATTCCCACCCAAATTCTGTAATTAGTTAAATTCTGGCGTGGATGGGTTTGGAGTGAGATATTACGTTTATTTCTTCGAATCTAGCCTTTTACGATATCCTGAGAGCAACGTCTAAGGACTGGATGTGTTGACAACCCGATTATACGTTGAATTGGGTGGTAAATATTTTCTTAATTTGATTTTTAAATCAACCACAGGTATAAATGTCTAGCATGGTGCAAGAGGTCTTGTGCAATTATTGGCTATTTAATTTGCCCACTAGGTTAGCACTGCTGCATGGAGTTAGGCATCGTCCAATCGCAAATCCTGTCTGAACAGAAGTGACTGAAAAGCCATTTCTTGGTCTTCCACTTCCAATGCAATGTTGCGCACATTATTTCAGAAGTGACATTTAGGTATTGACAGGTACAAAGAACAATTAAAAAGAAAAATGAATTCTAGAATTTAAAAGGGATGAAAAATTATTGAAGTGTTAAAGTTTGATGTGTTAAAGCTTTATAGTTGGGAAAACTATTATTCTTTTCACATCCCATTTATCTATTTTTTGGATACTTGAAGGATATGTCTTTCTAAAGTAACATTTTCCACTCTTACATTTAATTTGAGGCTGGGATTTACTGGTTAAGTTTAATGGATCATTTCTGTGCCGGATGGATTCTGACCATAGTCGCTCTGCTGGAAGTCAGTGCTTTAAGCTGGATCTATGGTAAGTATAATTGAAAAAAAAACTTTATATTTAAATATTTAATTCACTCTCCAAAGTCTATGCATGAGCATTGCCATTTTTGCTTGAGAGAGGTCAAGACATATCATGAACCAATTTGGTGTAGACAGCACATGATATCTGAGATGGCGAGACAAGAAGTAGTCACTGTCCTCAGATCTTTTGCCATTTGGTTCCAAAAGTCCACATGAGGAAGTATTGCCTTCTGCATGCTTCACTCGTGAATGCCTTGTTCTTATTGAGTTACAGCTGGATGTGGCTGAGGTCAATTTTATTGTTCATTTTTGGTGGGAATGTGGTTCAAACTCTTTTATTCAGAGTTGTATTACTTTGTTGGCTGTTCCTCTTCACTGTCGAAACAGATGGAACAACAACACAAGCTCAGTTTCAGCCTATTCAGGAGGTTTCTTATGACCTACTAGGATCTTTGTTCTGTTCTTCAGCTCAGAACAGAAGTCTCATTTTGAAAGTCCATTCTCACCCATTTTGATTATGGGTCGGTCTAGCTCAGCACCATTCAGAAGCATGAGGTTACCTTAGAATTCTTCTGGATTTGTACAAATATTTCACTTTCACAGGCAATTCGATTGGTGATAATGAACAATTTGTTCATCCTTTCCAAAGTCCTGAGTGCCCCAGGTTGTGCAGGGGGTTTGTAACCATTGAGAAACTTTTTGATAATGTCACAGAGCTACTTTTCACAGGGCATAAATAGCACCATGTAGGCAGAGTTAACAAAGAGAAGCATTAGGCAATGCAAATCTTTCCACCAATTTGACAAACGAATATTGTTATGTCTAAAGCTAGCAGAAAGTCGAAAGCCATTTTATAGGTACAGTAGGTACTAAGGATGGCAATGGAATTTAGGCAATTGTTATAAAAGGAATAGTGTATAAAAGCACAGACATATTTGTTGCAATTGCACAAGGCATTGGTGAGACTGCATCCAGAGTACTGTGTACAGTTTTGGTCTCCTTATTTGAAGAAGGATGTAACTGTATTAGCAGTTCAGAGAAGCTTCACTAGATTAGTTCCAGAGCTGAAAGGCTTGTCTTTGAGGAGAGATTGAAAGTAGGCCAACACCTGCTGGGGCTTAGAAGAACGAGAAGAGATCTAGTTGGGATACAAGATGCCGAAGGGAGTCGACAAAATAGACAAAAAGTGGATATTTCCCCTTTTGGGGAAATCTAGAAGAAGAGATTGTTGTTTTAGGCTAAAGGGTGGCAGGTTTAAGAGGGAGATGAGGCAGAATCATTTCTCTCAAAAGGGTCACATATCTGTGTGGAACTCATTACACCAGAGTGCGGTGGACACCACATGACTGAATAAATTTGAGAAGATAAACAGATTTTTAATTAGTAAAAAGTTAATGGGTTCTGGGGAAAAGGTGGGAAAGTGGAGATCAGTTGTGCTTGTATTGTATGGTGGAGCAGGCTCGAAGGACAGAATTAGCTACTCCTGATCCTGGTTCTTATTTATGTTCTATGGCAATGCCATCTTTGTGAAGGAAAACCAAACTTTACATTGAGAACATACAAACTTTAACAGCTTTGGTACTAAAAGAAGCAATGTTTAAAACAATAATTATTAAACGCAATCTTAATGTATACTTTTAAATGAATACTTTGGGTCGGTGTTCACTAGTGAGGGGGAAAATGTGGGTTTTGAAATCAGGGAGAAGGTCTGTGAAACAATTTTTAAAAACTACTACAGACACAGAGTGGTATTCCTGGTGTTGGGGAAACTGTTGGAAACAATTCTGAGGGAGAGAATTAATCTGAGTGTGGCGAGGCACGGATTAATCAAGAATTGTCAGCAAGGTTTTGTTAAGGGGAAACCATGTCTGACTAACTTTTTTCAATGAGTGGATCAGGTGTGTAGGTGAGAATAATACTTCTGATGTTGTTTACTTGGACTTCAACAAAGCTTTTGATAAGGTCCCGTATGGGATACTGATAGCAAAAGTAACAGCTAATGGGATCAAAGGAAGTTTGCAAATTGGATCCACAATTGTCTGAGTGGCAGGAAACAGAGTGATGGATGAAGAATATTTCTCCTGCTGGAAGTCTCTAACCATTGGTGTTCCATAAGGCTCCATAATGTTGGGGTCCTTGCTGCTTGTGGTTTATATAAATGATTTAGTCCTGAATGTAGGAGGGCTGATCAATAAGTTTGTAAATATTACTGGGGTGGTAAATAGTGAGAAGGATAGCCTTAGATTACAGATTTAAAACAGAGATGAGGCAGAATCACTTCTCTCAAAAGGATCTCAAACCTATGGAATTTTTAAGGCAGCAAATGGTACATGATTTATTAGTCGATGCAGAGAGGTTATGTTGGAACTGTATAAAATGTTGGTTAGGCCACAGCTCAAGTATTGTGTGTAATTCTGTAATCCACATTATAGGGGAGGTGATGGCCTAGTGGTATTATCACTAGACTGTTAATGCAGAGACTCAGGTAATACCCTGTGGATCTGGATTTGAATCCTGCCATGGCAGATGGTGGAATTTGAATTCAATTTTTAAAAAAGTTGGGATGATGACTTTAACGATGACTATGAATCCATTGTTGATAGTTGGAAAAGCCCATCTGGTTGACTAACGTCCTTTAGGGAAGGAAACTGCCATCCTTACCTGGTCTGGCTGATATGTGATTCCAGACCAACAGTAATGTGGTTGACTCTTAAGGACCCTCCTGACAATTAGGGATGGGTAATTAATACTGGCCTAGCCAGAGACGTCCTCATTCCATGAATGAATAAAAAAAAAGTGGGATGTGACAGCACCAGAGTGGTGCAGAGGAGATTTACCAAGACATTGCCTGGGCTGCAGAGTTTCTATGAAGATAGATTGGACAGGGTGAGTTTGTTTTCCTTGGAGCAGAGGAAACAGAGCGGGCATGAATGAGATTCATAAAATTATGAGGGGCAGAGATGGAGTGGACAGGAAAAAACATTTCCTCTTAAGGACGGATCAATGACCAGGAGATTGAAGGTAAGAAGCTGAATATTTAGCAGAGATGCGAGAAGAAAACCATTTTCTCCCAGAGGGTGGTGGGAATCTGGAACTCACCGCCTGTAAGAGTGGTAGAGGCAGAAACCCTCATAATATTTAAGAACTGTGATGTGCACTTGTCATGCCAAAGCATACAAGGCTATGGGACAAGTGCTGGAGAACAGGATTAGAATAGTTTGCTAGCTGTCTTTGACCATGATAGGTTGAAGGGCCTTTTAATGCGCTTAGGATCCCCAAAGAACTAAGAATATAACAAAGAATACAACACAGAAAAAGAAACAATCATTCAAGGAGACCAAAATCCTGACAATGATTATCCAGATTAAAAAAATAATCAACAACTTCAAGAGCCTATCAACTATCACCAAATGCACCAAAATGAACGTGTACTGATTTTTAAAAAAAAATTAAGCTATGAGGTCCACTTGGTAGATCAGCAAACATGTAAACTCAGTTCTTAAGATTTTGAACAACTTCAGGATTGGACATCAAATCAAATTTGGAACAGGCTAGCACTTCATGGAAAGATCAGATCACATAGGCAACTGTTCAATAAAAAAAATTACTTTTGACAACCTCCTGATGTTGATCAATATTTCACTTCAAGAACCACATGGACACTGGTGACAGCACACTTCAACAGCAGATACCAACTCCCTGATGAGTCTGTGGATTGATGACTTGTATATACTCTCTGAACTTTGCAACTTTGGAACTTTGGAAACTTCCTGCAAAAAAACAAAAAATCCATTTGCAACAGACTCACTGTTAGTCTCTTAGATAAGCCTGTCACTAAACTTCTTTCAATCAAAAGGCAATCTTACTCTAGAATGAGCATTCCAAATAACAATTGATACTTGGCCTAGAAAATTGCTCAAGAAGCATTACACATCAAGTTTAACAGGGAACATTCTACAGTATTAGTTGACTTCTTGATGTAAGATAGGGATGTTGTCCCAGGGATTTAGAACTCTGGTATAACCTTGCGATGATATTCTGCAGCTGCTCCTCACAGGGTATACCTAGTACAGTGTGGGTGGAGTTAAAAAGAGAGAAAGAAACACATGCAAAGAAACATATGAAGTAGACCAACTAGAATTAGACTGTAGAGCTTGTGGAATCATTTGTCAATAATGTAACAGTAAGATTAGACCCTGGTTTATCTGGAAATAACATGTACTGCAGCATTAAATCTTAATCTGTTATTAAGAACCCCAGCCTTAAGATTGTTCTTGACCTTTCTGTCTCCAATAGTCTGTCTTGAACCCAAACTCATGGATGTGAGCCTGAAACTGCAACAAAAGAATTCTCTGATTCAGCTTGAAACAACTGTCTACAGCATGCAGGCCTTCCTGAAGATAGGACAAACAAAATAATTATCTCTCTCTTTCTCTCCCCCTGTTCTCATACTGTTACAGGAGTAAACAGATTCATCAAGGACATTGAGATGATGATTGGGGAAAGGAATTGGCTCTTCTGGCTGTGGTGGAGAGCCTGTTGGGTCCTGATCTCTCCCTGTTTGCTGGCAGTAAGGAGATGTTATACCTTTTAATGATTTAAAGTGAAAATAATAAAGTCTAACTCATTTTGTTTCTGAGTTTTTGTTTTGTTTTTGTGCATTAATTTAATTCAGGTCATATTAACATGGTCATTAGCTGCATTCACTTCACCAACATATGGATTTGCTGAGTACCCGGTCTGGGCAACAGCACTTGGCTGGTGTGTGATCATCTTCTGTATTATGGGTACCTATTGTTGGGATTGTGAGAGTTTCCCAGTCTGAGGGATCCACGTTGTGCCAGGTTGGTAAATATTTTGATTGCTTTTAAACATAAATGAGTAAGAAATATAAAATTGAGCTCTGTAGTGGCAGTAGAACCAACATGAGACCCAAAATGTCTTCTGTACGAGTTTTGTTCATTTCCAGATTGGCCCAAAGGTTAACATTTTGGTCAGGATGGTAACGCAGAAGTGGCAACTGGGTGCTGCAACAACAGGGTATAGAGTCCGGTGAGGTGTAATTTAGAATCTTAAAAAAGAAAAGACAAGGTGGTTGCACAGGCCAAGAACTGCATAAAGATAACCAGATTGTGATGGGAAGGGACAGAGGGTAACATCATAAGAATATGAGAGCAAATAACGGACAGAATGGTGAAGAATAGTAAAAGGCAAAACTACAGTACTTTTGTTATCAGAATGTACCCACCGTTCGCAACAAGCTAGGTGACTTGATTGGAGAAGTAGAAAATAAGGATCTGATCTAATTTCAATTACAAAAATGAGGGTGCAAAATGAATAAGGCTGGGAATTGAATACTCAAGGGTTTGTGACGTTTCAGAAAGGAAATGGAGTAAAAAGTTGCTTTCTTTAATGAAAGAGTAACAACCTTAGCTGATAAGATCAATAAGTAAAAATTGTTTTGAGTTCAGAGAAGGAATAGCAAGAAAAAAGAAGCAACTTGGTAAAAGTCTTGAAGCCCCCTAATAATATGCAAAGAGGACAAAAGGACAAAGTGGAAAAATGAAGGGCTTACAAGCAACTTATTTCAATAATCATGATTATGTAGATAATGGATCAAACTGGCATGCATAATTTTCAGGCCTCATTGGGTGTACCATGCTGTGAATCAAGCCCAGCTATTTCTCGAGACATCACAAAAGTTAAAAGATGTTTAGAAGTACACAGAATTCTTCAATTTATTTTTCTCTTAGGCCCAGATTGACAGAGAGAACGGACCAACTTTCACCCCCAGTCTAGCTGTATGAAAGCCAATCACAGATTTGTTGGCAGGCAGGAGGACTTTGTCATCAATAACTGGCCATTATTTCATACCCCAATCAGCTACTTATTGCTGGCCAAATCTCCATTCATATACAGACCCTGGCTTCAGCTCATCTCTAAGAAAGTTTTCCCCAATGCTTGTACAACAGTTGTGTAAACAGCACTTATAATGATTATCAGGAAACCGGTCTTTAAAAAGCACAGCAATCCTGGATTTTAAACAATTTCAATCTAAATCATTTTATTTAAACCATTTCATTTCAGTCCATAATCAAAAATACAGAAAAATAAAAGGATACTATCTTTTCAGATGAAAAATTTAAATCCACCCCAATCATTAGTTTACGGACACATCAATGAGACAGTACCTCAAACTGTCCTATACTCATTCAGTTCTGCATAAGCCTGTGAAGGCTAAAAAAAAGAAAAGAATTAAGCTCCACTCCATTGTAGGTCACTCAAAGCAAAATCAAGAAATGGCCAAAGGTATTGGACACTACAAACCTGTGAACACTGACAACTTAACAGCAATACTGTTGAAGATTGGTGCCCCAGAATTATTTTCACCACTACCCATCTGTACCATCTACATCATTGACATCTCCCTGGCAATGTGCAAAATTGCCCAAATATGTTCCTGTTCAGTAAAATCAAGACAAATCCAACGCAACCAATTACCACCCAACCTGTCAACTTTCCATCATCAGCAAAGTGATAGACCAGGATGTTCACAATGCCATCAAGCTCAGTTTGGATTCTGCCAGGAGTACTTAGCTATTAACCTCATTATAGCCTTGGCCCAAACATGGATAAAAGAGCTGCCATCCAGAGGGGAGGTGATACTGACTGCTTTTGATACCAAGATAGCATTTCACATTGAGTTTTCCATCAAGGATCCCCAGCAGAACTGAGTCAGTGGGAATCAGGGCAAATCTCTCTGCTGGTTGGTCAGACCAAGACTAGGGGAAGATTGTTAGAAGTCTGTCACCTCAATCCCAAAAAAAAACAATCACAATAGCAGGTTCTCAGCATAGTGTCTTTGGCCCAACCACCTCCTGCTGCTTTGAGAATGGCCTATCCTCCATCATAAAGTCAGAAGTGTGGATGTTTGCTGACTGAATGATATTCAGCACAGTTTGCTACGCCTTAGACACTGAAGCAGTCCATGTCCACATTTAACTAGATCTTGACAATATCCATGATAGGGCTTGTACGTGGTTGCTAATATTTTCACTAGACAAGTGCCATGCAATATCAGTCCCAAATAGGTGAGAATCTAATAATTATTCCTTTGTGTTTAATGGCATTACCCTTATTGAATCCCCCACTATCAACATTTTGCGGGTTACCATTGACCAGAAATTCAACTGGATCTACCACATAAATACTCAAAGAGCAGTTCAGAAGCTGGGAATTCTTTGGTGAGTAACTCATCTCCTGACTTTCCGAGGCATGTTCACCATCTACAAGGCAGGAGTGTGGTGGAATACCTGAATGACTGCAGCTCTGACGATACTCAATTGATTCAACACCATCCAGATCAAAGCAGCCCGCTTGATTACCATTATATCTGATACCTCCACTGACACAGAGCTACAAAAATCTTTAAAAAGTATTGCAGCTCCCCACCTTGGATAGCACCTTCCAAAAGCACAACCTCTACCAGCTAAAATGATGTGGGTAACAGGAGCATGGGAATACCGAAAAAAACAACTGCAGCTCTGATGAAGAGTTGTTTAGACTTGAAACATTAGCTTGCTGTCTCTCCACGGATGCTGCCTGACAAGTTGTGATCTCCAGCATTTGCTGTTTTCAGTACAGATTCCAGCATCTGCAGTAATTTGCTCCTACATGGGAAAACTGCCATCCACTCTAAGTCACTCACCATCCCTCCTCTGTCACTGGTTTTAAAATCCTGAAACAGCCTCCCAAATATGTTCATGTACATGTATCTGTACGACAAGAACTGCAGTGGTTCAAAATGTCAACTCACCAATACCTTCAAGAACAACTAAGGATGGGAAATAAATGCCACCCTCATCAGTAATATCCACAGGATTGAATAATTTTTAAAAATCTTAAGACGTGGAACTTGAATCCAGAACCTTGCAACGCAATGCAAGAGTGTGATCAACTCAACCTGATTAACATTGTCAATTGACTGAAGGCAAACCTTCAGGACACAGTACCTAAAAATGTCAAGAAATGTGGATGCTGATGGGACGATTGGAAATTTATTAGCTGTCCCTAAAGGTGGGGCTTCTTACTAAACTGCTGTAGCTCATGCTGCTAATATGCTGACAGAGTGTTCTTCCTGAATATTTTGTCCAGTTGAGTGATCTGGGGTCATGCAAATACTGAATATAATTAATTACTGTCAGATTCTCAATTGTTTAAATGTAGTAACTACTTCATCAAGGAAGGAAGTTTTGGCTCAATTACTTTATTTAAATTCAGAAGTCACCCAACACGAGGTTATGGTTCAACAGGTTCATTTGAAATCATAAGCTTTTGGAGCACTGCTCCTTCATCAGGAGAAGGAGTTCAACTGATGAAGGAGCAGTGCTCCGAAAGCTTGTGATTTCAAATAAACCTGTTGGACTATAACCTGGTGCCGTGCGACTTCTGACTTTGTCCACCCCAGTCCAACACTGGCACCCTCACACCATGATTTATTTAAATTGGTGTGTCAATGCCTGCAGGAAGGTATTTTGAATAGGGATTATTTTGATGTAATACACTTTTCCTCAGCAGATCGCAATGCCAGTGTACAATAGTGCCTGAGAAATTAAGGGTTCAGCAATGGGAAATGTAATTTCCGTTCAACACAGAGGTTAAAGATTTTTCAAAATATTATATCGAAGCAGCACAGGGAGGGGGAGAGAGAGGAACCGAGAGAAGGAGAGACATGGAGGAACACAGAGAGATGGACAGAAGTACGAGGTGGGGGGGGGGGGGGGGGAAGTAAAGAGAGAGAGAGAAGACAGGGGCAGGGACAGAGATGAAGAAACCAAGGGCAACACGGTGGCACAGTGATTAGCACGGCTGCCTCACAGCACGAGGGACCTGGGTTCCATTCCACCCTCGAGCGACAGTCTATGTGGAGTTTGCACATTCTCCCCGTGTCTATGTGGGTTTCCTCCGAATGCTCCGGTTTCCTCCCACAGTCCAAAAATGTGCAAGTTAGGTGGATTGGCCATGCTAAATTGCCCATAGTGTTCAGGGTTGTGTAGGTTAGGTGCATTAGCTGCAGGGGGATGGGGATGGGGATGAGTCTGGGTGGGATGCTTTTCGGATGGGTCAGTGTGGACTTATTGGGCCAAATGGCCTGTTTCCACACCATGGGGATTCTATTCTATGATAATTTATCAAACTGCAGTACAATTTAATTAAGAACAGCTTTCTATTTTTCTCATTGGAAGTTAATGGAGGATAAAATTCTAGCAGAAACAATTCAATATTTCATTTCACTTTCACAGAAAATTTCTGCTGCTTGCACATCAGCCCCTGACTGGGGTCCGTACTTGGAATGACACACAAGGGAGAGATATGGAAACAGGTCAGATTTGACAGAGGCCCCGATCTCTTTGCAACTTTCGCCCACTCCTGGTATATGAAAATTTCACAAAAATGTCTGGTTCAGTTTGTAAAGAATGACCGTGAAAACCCCCCCATTTGTTCTGGTGTACTCTCACCGTAACATCAGTGACAGTTCTCCAGAACTGGCCAAATGAAGCAGGCTTGAGG